ATTTAAGACAGTGGTATGAGAAGAGGAGGCTTCCTCTAAGTTAAGGCATTCAGAGTACTGCAATTGACTGAATCCTACTGAGTCCTGGAGTCAGAACTAGTCTAAAATTCAGGAGAACTTGGTTCTAGTCTAGACCAAGCTGATAACCACGGGTGACACCTGGCTCAAGCATGATTACACACGTCAGAGCATTATTTGAAAGAGATGGGTAAGAGAGGTGGGGGTCCTTCATTTCTAATGTTCTTAGATTATCATTTGGTTATTGAAGGGATTGAATTAAAAAGTTCCAACACATTTGCCTTAGGTTCTTGAATAACCAAAACATTGGTAAGCCAGACATGGTGGCGCATACCTGTAATCCCAGTGAAGTCAGGAGGCTGAGGCGGGAGGATTGCAAACTCAAGGCCAACCTGGCCTTTTGAGGCCCTATCTCAAGATTAAAATTAAAGTTCAATGGTAAAGCACTCCTGGGTTCAATCCCTGATACCCCACCCCCAGAAAAAGGAAAGGAAAAAAAAAAAAGGTGAGTCCCTTCTCTACCTATTGTACCCTTTGTATTATCTTGATGATTTCCTAATCTCTTTATAGATTTAATAAACTTACCCAAGGATTACTATAAGGCCTTTAAAGGGAGAGGACTAGATTTTAATGGCATTTTTAGAAAAGGAAAATAAGTAGGCAAAAAGATCTTTGTGTCCTCTAACCCTACCCACCCCCTTCAGTATGTTCTATATGGATACTGGGACTTCTCCCTAAAGTAAGGTATTTTCTGGCTTCTATACACCCTGACAATGTTCACTCTTATTAAATTAATACAAAGTGCCTGGAAGCCTGGCCTCTCCATCCTCCTAGTCAGGAATGCCAAAGAAGGAAAATAGTTGATCTATATTATGTTGCCTCATTATTTGTTCTTCTTAATGAACATATTAGTTACATTCTTTGGGTATGCAAAGAAGAGTCTTGCCCAGCCTACTTTTGATAATGGAGGCATGCTGGTAGGCTAGGAGGAAAGAGGCTGGCACTCAATGGCTTTTCTTTCTTAGCACTGCAGCCAGATTGAGTGGAAATATCTGCAGCAGGTCACAAAAACCATCTGCTGTTTTGGGGGCTCAGCTTAGTTTAGTGGAGGATTTGATTGAGCAAAACTGGGTCTTTGTATCCTGGAGCTCAGGGATCGGGCAGTTTCGCGCCAGCCCCTCTGTGGTGTTTTCAGGCACCTGACTACTGATCCTGAGCTCCACTGGTCGTGGCCATGTTAGCATGGTGGTTCTCATCAGCTGCACACAGCAAAAACCACATTGTCCACCCTCAGAACCCTCTTCAGGGCTGCTCATATCAGAAAGGGGCTGTGGATGTGGCAGCATCATGAAATGATCTCTTTGGTACATGGGATCATTCTTCTAATAACTTTGAAAATCACAGCAGAGCAACAAGGAATACAAGGAGCAAACTTTTCTGAAAGTGTATGAAAAAAAGCAAGGATTCATTCCCTCAGAGCAGCCTCTGTTGCAGGCCTCCCTTAAGTGTTTAACTCACAGTGAATGTTTTATTGAGTAGCACAGCGGGTGGGCTCTGGCTAAGCACAACATTGATGGGATCTTGGTCAGTTGGCTGTCTTTGAAGACAGGAGCCTTCCCTGTGCCAAGCCTGACTAAGACTTCCACAGGAGCACACAGTATGTGGAAAAGGACTCTGGTCGGGTGTTTCACTTTAACTTTTCTTTGATACTCAGTCCTACATCAGAATCACCTCATTCTGGCCCTGAATACTATATCAGAATCACCTGAAATGCTTGTTGATACTACAGATTACAGAAAGGCCTCACCTCCTATATTCCTGAGCCTGAAGAGGTGGAACCCAGGAAGCAATAGTTCTTTTAGAAAAATTTTACCTGTGTATCTACACACACATCCACCCCAGATTTTTGTTCTTTGGAATAAGGCATAGCTGCATTTCCCCCTATTTCTCCTTCTAAATACAGATGAGGGTGAAAAGGGCAGCAAAGCAAGGCAGAAAAACTTAGACAATAGCCACTCCTTCAGCCAAACAACACAGAAAAATCTGTCCCCCTTCCCTGCAAGGCTGCATGGCTGAGTGGAAACCTAGATACCCACCACTGCTGGGCTATCACAAGGGGCACCACCCCATTGGGTAGTGTCAAAGAAAGCTAAGAAGGATGCCAGGATTTTCATCCCTAGCAGCTGGTAATGAGTGTCTCACTCCCCCACCTCACCCCTATTCCTCATGTGCTGTGTCATTGGAGACAATATGGAGAACCTAGACTTCCACCACTTCTTAATTGGAATGAAGCTGAATGATAGTGCAGTAAGGCATATAATCAGTGCAGGATAGTTGAAGGTGAATAACAAAGTACTCCTTTGAACCAGAGTAGCAGCAGTGGGAGCCTGGTGGGGAGTTAGAACAGCAACCCACACCCAGCAGTATCAAGGAACCCTTTTTTCTCTCAGGTGTCAATAGAGGTCAAGTGGGAAACCTGAATTTAATTCTCTCCTGGCAGTGATAATGTGGCATTCTCCTCTTTCCCCTGTTTGAGCAGTGTCCTAGTATGATAGTTAAACTAGAAAGTTTAAATGATACCTAGAGCTGAGTGTAGCAGCTCACACCTATAATCCCAGTGACTCTGGAGACTGAGGCCAGAGGTTGACAAGTTCAAGACGAGCCTCAGCAACTTAGCAAGACCCTCTCTCAAAATCAAAAAATGAAAAAGAGCCGGGGAAATAGTTCGGCGATAGAGCACCCTAAGTTCAGTCTCCAGTACCCCCCCATACACACACACTTATTTAGAGTCATAACACTCAGAAGGTTCAGGTTTCAGCTGAAGTCACTTGCCATACCATCAATGACAAAAACTTGAACTTTAGTGGGGAGAAAAAAGATAATAGATGCCAGCACCAGATGACAGAGATGTTAGAATAATCTGACAAAGATTTTAAGTAGCAATCATAAAAATGCTTTCATGAATAATTTCAAATACTCTTGAAACAAGTGAAAAATTATGATAAATCTGCCCTAAAATCCAATCATATTTTAAACATATCTTGCCATTTAAGTAACCCCTTTGATGGATAATTGTTCTGTTTAAAAGTATGCATCTGAGCCAGAAATAGCTGCTACTTCAGGAGGGTAAGGCAGTTTGAGGTCAGCCTGGGAAACTTAGCAAGACCCTGTCACAAAATGAAAAATAAAAGGAACTGGGATATAGCTCAGTGGTAGAGCACCCCTGGGTTCAATCCCCAGTAACACTAGATAAGTAAATAAACAAGCACATATGCCAGTATCTGAACTTTAACTCTGAAAAATTTTAGTCCATCAGTTGGAAACCAGCCTCCCTTGGGTGCCATTCAGGTCGTGAGGGAGCTAAAGAGGCTATAAATCAATCTGTCTGGGTCAAGAGTGGTGCCATGACTGGAATAGAGATCAGAATATGTCTCTGTTAAATGCCAGTCAGACCATATGTGAATCAGTGAGTGATGTTTTAGAGCATCAGATTTTGAGGGGAATACTGGCCAGTACACAGTGTATACAAAAAGAAGGTGACTCTGATAGAAGTCTGGGAAACATGTCATGGGAGGGGTGATCACAAAAAAGTTTATAAATTGATTGATTGGGGGTACTGGGGATGTAACCCAGAAGTGCTCTGCCACTAATCCATGTCCCCAGCTCTTTTTATTCTTATTTTGAGACAGGGTCTCACTAAGTTGCCAAGACTGGCCTTAAAACAGGCCTATGATCCTCCTGCCTCAGCCTTCTGAGTAGCTGGGATTACAGGTGTGCATCACTCTCTGCTGGGCAGAATTGGTTGATAGTGAATGTAAACCAGTCTAAATTCACCTCATTTGATGGATTGATGTTGAATGAAAATTAAGATTAAATGGTGTGTGTGTGTGTGTGTGTGTGTGTGTGAGTGTGAGTGAATATGTATGTATGTGTGTGACATATGCCAGGTGTGTATAATGTTGTGTTTGGGAAAAGTTCCTGAGATAATGCTTTTTCCTAATGTCACTCTAAGGGCCTGGACATAGTCTCCCCTGGTCTTCTGGACAGTCTCTAAACTTTAATATGTTTAGAGAAGTCACTCTATGCATTCTATCTGAGAAATTCACTTACCAAAGGTACCTAGCTAAAGTATCCAATATATACTTCCTTGCTCTCCCTCCTCTCTTGACTCTGTCTTCAATAGATGAGTGATAATGATAATGATGATGATGATGATGTTGATGATGATGATGATTGTTGGTACTAGGGTTTCAATCCAAGGACACCAAGCACTCTACCATTGAGCTACATCTTTTTTATTTCTTTTGTTTTGAGATAGGGTCTCACTAAGTTGCCAAAGATGGCCTGGAACTTGCAGTTAGCCTCCCAGTTAGCTTGTGTGTGTGTGTGTGTGTGTGTGTGTGTATGTAGGGGGGTGGGGGGAGTTGGTTGGGAGGGGAGACAGTTGGGGGGTGGTCTCCATGTGTTCACAGTAAGTTAGGACCACAGCTGAATGACTATTAAATGTACTAGTTAACTCACTTGGAGGCTTTTTTTTCTTTCCCCTTTCTCTTTTAATTAAAGAGAGAGGGTGGATTACATTTCATTTGCATATGATTGCCTCCTCCACACGTTTTATTTTACTCTCTTCTTCTTTTCATTCCTCTTCTCCCACCTCCTTGGAGTGATATGTAGTCTTTTTTTTTTTTCCTTGCAATTTCTCTAAGAAATTTTTATTTAGAGTCTGCCTGTGGTCCCCTGAGGCCTCCTTGGCTCCTGCTTGTGCTCTCTGCCAGGGAGAGACACTCTCCTGAAGTGCTTGTGAAGGAAACTGATCAGACACATGACATTTTCCCCTTGCCCTTTTGGAGCAATCAGCTCTGGGCCTCTTAGAGGGAAAAAGTCAGGCCAGAAGCAAGATGCATGTGTTTGCATAAGCATTAGTAGTTCAACGTGTGCCCTGGTTCTATAGCTGAGGACAAGCCTAACTTATTCATTTACAGCTTCTTTTATTGCAGAAAAAGGAGTGGACGTGGGATGAGAGCAAGATGCTGGTGATGCAGGACCCCATCTACAGGTAAGAGCCCAGTCCAAAGCTCAGGAGGATGCAGAGCCCCAGGGTCTCCCTGCCATCTCCTGGAGCCATCTGTTAGGCTGGTGGGTCTAGACAGATTGAAATAAACTTTTATTACTTTTCCCTTATGAGATCTGCTGTCTCTGTAAATGTAAGTATAAGAAATAAATCTGCCTTATCTTTAGGATGGAAAGTTTTTCTGATTGTATTAAATTGTATTAAGGGAGCTATGAAGGATTTCTTCTTGTTTTTTAATCTAGATCTCTCTGTTATAATCAGAGACCCTTTAAATTTGTGCTAGTTTTATCCTAACTGAAATTTTGTAATTGCTTACATGTTGATTATGATAAAATGAGATTACTGGGTTATCCCATCCCCCTGTGCTCTCAGTTTCCCACTATATTCTCTTCTTTCTGTCCCTTCAGAAACTGAGCCTAGATAAAGGACTTGAGATCACTTAGGAAAGCAGAAAATAAAAAATATAATTTCTGGGTGTTTATCTTATTCTCCAAATTCATGTGTTGAAATCTTTACTCATAAGGTGAGGCTTCAGGCGGTTAGACACTTCAGAGGTGATTAGGTCATGAAGGTGGAGCCCTCATATTTAAGATTAGTGCCCTCATAAAAGAAGCTCCAGATGGCCGACTTGCCCTTTTCACCATGTGAAGACACATCTGTGAACCAGAAAGTAGGCCTTCAGCAGACAATGGATCTACCAGTACCTTAATCTTGGACTCCCCAGTCCCCAGAACAATAAGAAAGAAATTTTTATTGTTTTGAGCCACCGGGTTTGTGATATTTTATTATAGTAGATTGAACGGATACATACCCAGAAATTGCTTTCATAATGAGATTTGTATGAATTCTTTTCTTTTTTTTTTTTTGGTTCTGAGGATTGAACTGCAGAGCATTTTACTACTGACCTATATGCCAGCCCATCAAAAAACAAAAAAACAAAACAATACTTTTTTTTTTTTTAAATTTTGAGATAGAATCTTGCTAAGTTGCTTATAGCCTAGCTATATTGCTGAGGCTGGCTTTGAACTTGTGATCCTTATGCCTCAGCCTCCCACATCACTGGGGTTACAGAAATGTGCCACCATGCCTGGCTGTGACTATTATAATTCCTATAGAGATTAGATGGTTACCATTCATATGTATTCTATGTCAGAAGAATACCAGACAGCAGTAACATACAGAAAGTCAGGGCTGTCCTGGGATTCAGGGAAGGACCTCAGAACCTGTGTGTTATTGCCTCCTTCCTGTTTTTTATTTTTTTATGGTGCTAGGGATTGAACCTAGGGCCTTATACATGCTAGGCAAGCACTCTACCATCCTTCTTCCTGTTTGAGGGGAGAGTGGCCATTTCTTTGGAAATTGGCAAACCTAGACTTAGCTTCTCCTTTTGTCTCCTCTCAGATTACTGCCATGACTTTGTTGACAAAATAGGTAAGGTTTGGAACTCAACTGTGAAGATGGCAACATGGGTGACCTCGCCTTCTAGTTGAAGAGTAGGTGAAAGAATTGTCTATTCATTTGAAAAATATATTTGTGTGAAAGACTTACACCAGGTACTCTGCTGGGTAATTAAGTCACGGGCCCTTGTTCTCAGGAAGTTTTATTCCAGTAGGGAAATGGACTCTGAATAAATCGCTGTGGTATAAGATGTTGCATCTGACAAAGTAAATTTCCTCCTCTATGTTCCTGTTGTACTTTTTTTTTCTCTCTCTCTCTCAGTTCTGAACTACACTCTACCACTGAACTACATCCCCAGCCCTTTTTATTATTTATTTTAAGACAGGATCTCACTAAGTTGCTTCGGGTCTCACTAAGTTCCCCAGGTTGGCCTTGAATTTGTGCTCCTCCTGCCTCAGCCTCCTGCATTTCTTGGATTACAGTCTTACATCACTGCACCTGGTTCCTATTGTATTTTTCAATGTTTCTTAAAATAATTTCATTGTATGTTATGGTTTAGATGTGAGATATTACCCAAAAGTTCATGTGTGAAACAATGTAAGAAGGTTCAAAGGTGAGATGATTAGAATAGAGCAGCTTTAACCTAATCAGTGGAGTAATCCACTGATGCATTAACTGGGTGTTAACTGTAGGTAGGTAGTGTGGCTGAAGGAAGTTGATCACTGATGATGTGCCTTTGGGGTTTATATTTTGTCCCAGGTCAATGGAGCTCTGCTTTGCTTCCTGATTACCATGTCCTGAGCTGCTTACCTCTGCCATGCCCTACCATCACAATTTTCTGCCTCAACTTGGGCCCAGAGGAATGGGGTCAGTTGACCATAGACTGAACCTCTGAAACTGAGTCAAAATAAACTTGTTCTCCTTTAAATTGTTCTTGCCAGGTCTTTTGGTCACAGTGGTGCAGGAGCTGAATAAAACAGTGTATTACTGTTACTTACTTATTTAAAATGTCACTCTTGCCACTAGACTATGAGGCTTTTGAAGGGAAGAACTATGTACTTTTCACTTTTGCATATCTAGTATTAAGCTCATACTGGATCATATGAGATACTTAATAAATGTGCAATGGGTGGGTGGATAGATGCCTTGAATTAATGTCTGAAAATTATCATGAGTGGTATAGTGATTCACAAAAGAGAACAATTACTTTCTACTTGAGTGATGAGAAAAGGCTTTAAGAGAAACAGATTGCATGAGAACTGGGCTTGAAGAATGGAAATAGACAAATCTCTATCTTTTGAATTTTGTAAAAGACTTTCTTGGGTTTTTGTTTTTATTTTTCATCGTGCCACCATATATATAAATAAATGACCTCTTTGTAGATGCTGGTCATAAGTTGAATTTTTTCTTGTCTCTGATTGAAAGAAAAGACTTTCCCAGTTTTTATCTATCCCAAACAAGTTGCTTACTTTATTTTTAGCAGCTTTATTGAGGTATACTTGGCATACAAAATCAAATATCTTTAAATGAATAATTTCTTAAGCTTTGATGTATGCACACCTGTGAGACTGTCACCTCAATCAAAAGGGTGAGCATTTCTGTTACCTCCAAAATTTTCCTTTTGTCCTTTTGCAATCCTTCTTTCCCATCCTTCCACAATCTACCCCTTGCTAAACCCCATATCCTATTATTGAATTTTGAGTCTTTTGTAAACTCTGGATATAACCTTTGTCATATTTATGACTTACAAACCTTTTCTCCAAGTCTTGCTTGTCTTTCCTTTTAATAGTGTCTTTTGAAGAGCAAGTGTTTTACATTTTGATTAAGTCCATTTTATCAGTTTTTTAAAAAAATGGATCGTGCTTTTGTCATATCTAAGAAGTCTTTACCTGGTTCAAGGTCACAAGTATTTTCTGTTTTCATCTAGAAGTGTGATAGTTCTAGCTTTTATGTTTAGGTGTATGCTACAATTTGATTATTTTTTTTTTTACATGATGTGAGGGTAGATCAAAATTGCCCTTCCCCCTCTCCCACATCCCTACCTCAGCCACCACCATTGAAGGTCCACTTCCAGCCTCATTTGTTGAAAAAGTGTTCTTTCTCCACTGAAATACTTTCACATCTGTTAAAAATCAATTAGTTATACTTGTATGGTCAAATTGTATTGCCTAGCATATGCTACACAAGTGCTATACCGCTAAGCTACATCCCCAGCCCTATCTATCCACTTATAAAAAGAAATATGTATTTTTAAGGAGGAATACATCAAAGACAATTTTAAATATATTTTTCTTTGGTCCTCAGACTCACACAGCAGGTGCTCTGGTTACAGATGTCTTGTGAATTTTTTATAATAAATCAAAATTTACCAACTTATGTTTGTGAATAAAGAAATGAACTTTAACCAGTATATTTTCAGTCTTCAGGTGTTTTTTTTTTCCTCCAAGTATTAAATTGTAGTGTTTTTGTCTATATACATATGAACTTGTATATTTATGTGTATGGGTAGACAAAAAGGAACTTTTTTCTTAAACTGTATATGTTCCATTTTATTAATGAGAACATTTATCATCATGATAATATGGTAACATTTATAAATGAACTTTTCCTCAGTATGGTTATTTTTCTGCCCTTAAGGAACATCTCTGGTTTGATTTAGCAGCGGTTCTGAGGGACACAAAATTGCTTATGTTTTTTAATAACACACTGGATTTCTGAAGTATTCACTTTAGTCAAATTCCTCAATGGTAAATCCATTCTTCCTATACAAAGTAATGCTTTTTTTCCATGTCACTAATGAAGATTTGGGTTTTATTAAGTCAAATTTTAAATTTAAATCTTCCTCATTCCCCACCTGGAATAATAGAATTGTGGATTTTTTTAGGGGGGTGGGAGTACTGGGGGTTGAACTATTTACCACTGAGCTACATCCCTAACCGTTTTTATTTTTTGTTTTGAGATAAGGTCTTGCTAAGTTGCCTATGCTGGTCTTGAACTTATGTTCCTCCTGCCTCAACCTCCTAATTTTCTAGGCATGCACCACTACACCCAGCAATCATGGATTTTTCATTGTGTTCACACACAAACACACAAAACATACAATTTTCCATTTTAACAATTTTTAGATGTACAAATCAGTGGTGTTCATTTCATTCATCAACTAGTACAACCATCAGTATTATCTGTTTTCAATACTTCTTCACTCCAAACAGAAATTCTGGACCAATTAAGAAATAATTCCCCAACGTCCCTCTTCTCCCAGCCTCTGATAACTTCTAAAATCATGAAATTTTAAGAGGATAATAGCACTATGGTGCTCATGTGGGCCATTTTCCCCTCCATTACAGGATACTCTATTTCTCTGAAATTATTTGCTATTGCAGTGTTCTTCATTAAGTGAAATCATATTTTCTTAATTATATAATTGTTTTCCATTTATTCTATCTTTTACCTCTGGGACTACAAATATGTACATCTTATTTTTATTTCCTTTCAGTCAACCTAAGGTCCTGAAGCCTTTTTTCATTATAGTTTTCCAAACCTCTTAATTTCAGAACACACAGTTACTCAGAGCTGTTTGGAGAAGG